CCCTACTGTCTCTATTTCGAGCACCTAATTGGTGTTTTAAAGGACTTTGTGCATTTTCATTTATTTCTTAGATCAACACTATTTATAGAAATATGATATCAAGTTTTAAAGCATTATTCTTTCGTCAAAATTGAAAGCTCGATATTATTTCAATTTTGGTAGATATTTTAATATGTCAAAATAATGCATACCCAGTATCTGATCACATCATTGTATTCTTTAACATGTTTTAAAATGTGTAAATATAAAGAAAAAATCGACAAATATTTTAAGAAGGTTCATTTATAGAATTTTCCAACATTCTGATTCTCCAAATAGCCCAGTTTTCACAGTATAAAGTTTTCATCGTCTTCGTTTCTGATAGATAGTTTTTTTTTTAGTTTTTTCTTAACTTGGAACCACATTGTAGATTGTATTAACAAACAACTTTAAATCATTCACATCTGAACTTTAATATAAATGAAACTACTGATTCTTTTAAACTAAAGCTATCTTGAGTAATGAAGACTAAGAAGCTTAAAGCTAAACTATGTAAATGTACATTGAAACTATATGAAATGTAAAGATATTTGAGTAATCATAGTTTAATAGTAGTTTACGCAACGATTGCGTTAAGTGAGTCTTTACGACACGAGTAGAAAATTTAAGGCACGAGCCTTGGCGAGTGCCTTAAAAACTTCTACGAGTGTCGTAAAGACTATTAACGCGAGTTGCGTACACTACTTTACCTACGACCGTTTTTTTAATTACTATCAATCTGGATTTAATTACTAACAATCACTAATGATAACTTTTTAGAGAGGTTATGTTTTCGTGTATTGTCATTGCCACTGAAAGTGATGCAACGACTTGTTGTATAATCAGCTGATTTCCTGTAATTACGTGTTTGTTAAACTTCGTTAAATATTACATTGCTAGCAGCATTCTTACCATAAATAATATTGTATCATGTACAATTCGGCAAATATTTCATTTATTTTTGAACTTCCACCAACTTAATTAAGAATACGCGAGTATCAACATAAACAAGTCGGATCAACAATTAAATTGGTCAACTGATCAGCTGATCAGCTGATTAGTTGACGTTCGAAGCATTACAATTTTAATTCTTTTCTCTCAATACTTGAACCTCATTGGTCCGTTACCTGTGTGGATATGAGAAAACTATGCGGATATGAAATGAAACTATGCGGATATGAAAGTAAACAGCTGTAAAGTGAAACTTTTCAATTCTAAGAACTGGACTGAAATGGCTACTTTAAAAAACGGTCGTAGGTAAACCAGTTTTGTAACACATGTTTAAAAATTATACTAGCCTACTTTAGGATTTTTTTTTTACTGAGAAAAGATTGAGCTCTACAATTCACTTCTCCAAATGGTCTAAGGAGATCAATTGTGCTTTAGAGAGAACAAGGAACAATCTTCGTAATCCTAGATTTGCGGTCTAAACCAATCTACTTCAGCTGACTTTGCGACTCTGGCCAGAATTGATAAAGGACACATTTCGGAAATCGTTACTTATGTTGTAAATTTTTACAACATTGTTAACATTTTTGATATAAAGTTTGTGATTGGATTTTGGTTATGTGTGGTTATAAGCTCTACATTCTAGATAATTGTTTTCTGGGCTTTTAGGTACTAATATAATCTAAAATATTTATTTAAATATATACAGGGTGATTCAAAATGAATGACCCAGTTTTAACGCTTTATAACTTTTATACTATTAAACTTACTACTATAAAATACACATCAAACGAAAAAGCAACTCAAAGAGTTTATGTCTTCCAAAGACACATCATTTAACAAAATCGATCCAGCGGAACTGTAGATTTAATTGTACAAAGTTAAAAAGTAATCTCCAATTTTTTTGTACCTCTAGAAATTTGGAGGTTACTTGACGTTTTTGCAAATAACTTTTAAATGGCGAGGAAATCGACCAAAGTGGAAGGTAATATCCCGAAAGAGAATAAAATTTCCTACTATCTACTATTATGCATCTCTTGAAAATACTCAATAGATGTAGCTTAAATTTGGCTTAAAATAAAAAATTGTGAAATTTAATGTTTGCTATGTTTATTGTCTACATTAAAGACGGGGATTTTCAATTTTTCTTTCATTTTGAGGCAATTTTTGGTACCTTTCTCGAGTATTTTCAAAAATGCATAATAGTAGATTGTAGGAAATTTTATTCTCTTTCGGAATATTACCTTCCATTTTGGTCGATTTCCTCACCATTTAAAAGTTATTTGCAAAAACGTCAAGTAACCTCCAAATTTCTAGTGGTAAAAAAAGTTGGAGATTACTTTTTAACTTTGTACAATAAAATCTACAGTTCTGCTGGATCGATTTTGTTAAATGATGTCTCTTTGGAAGGCATAAACGCTTTGAGTTGCTTTTTTGTTTGATGTGTATTTTATGGCGGTAAGTTCAATAGTATAAAAGTTATAAAGCGTTAAAACTGGATCATTCATTTTGAATCACCCTGTATTTTAGATAATATATTTCTTCTTATATATTTATTTTTTCTTCACATTGAATGATTCAATTTTGGTAAATGGTTCCAGATGTGCCATGTCATTAATTCAACCAAATTTAATTGGTTGACACAATATATTGAGTACAACATGGATTGAACATAATGTTGCGGGCTTAACAGGTTCTTTACAATAAAAACTTGGCGATTTTAAAATAGCTATTTTATTTACACTAATATTCTGTATTTACAATAATTACAATTACCTAACACCTAACTAACCCTATCTAAACCTAGCTAATGCCTATTCTAATTTACAATGTTTCTACTTACAGCTAGCCTCTACAGGATTTATCACTTCTGTTACAATACTGTCACTACACTGTCACTAGAGTCACTACACTGTTACTCTCACTGTCACTACACTGTCACTGCCACTAGCACTGGTCACTCACACCGGCGTGCCGTCGCTTCGATGATTCTCGGAAGACTTAACTCAACTCAACTGCCGTGTGCCGGAAGACGGTCCCTTATATAAGTTTACCGTGGAACATTCTGGAGGCACCTAGTAGCCCAAACAAAGCTGTTTACAGATCACCGTAGAAGCTTCTGGTGGATGTCAAAGACCCCTATTGACGTAGTCCGTTGACATGGGTCCATTGTCTTTCGTAGAACCCCGTTAAACAAACAACCCTTTTGAGACGGCGCCTGGCTATTGTTGCGCGGGGCTCCTGACTTGTAACAATAACTTACTCCCATATAATTATGGCTCTTATCATTCTGATAAAAACAAGAAATATGTATCTTTTGGTTGATGTAAAGGAAGTTTAGTTGATTACTATTTATTTCTCCTAATTTAACCCTTTTACAATATTATTTAGAAGAATGAAGATCGATTTGTGAACTGTTTGATCATCCTATGGTATTAACGAAAGTATAAGACCCATTTTCAGAAATTTTCTAAAAAACACTATAAAAAAATGTTGTTGGCATCTGAGAACTCAAACTTAATTGAAAAAATACTTGCACGTCCAAGAAAAGTTTGATTTTTAAAATAGATCGTATTTGTTTATAAAAGATTTAATTTACTCTAAAACTCATCTGGTTCTATTAAATTATGTATTGGTTGGTCTATGATACAACTTCGACTTCTATGAAAAGTCAAAATACAAGAGTCTGTAGCTATGGCAACAGCCTCCTGCTCTGAGAAACAAAGGTGCTCTGGGGAAATAAATCATAATTGTATATTGTAAACAAAGTAAGCCTCTAATGAGTTGTAGAACAATACACTGATATGTGTGGAGTGAATAAAAACAATTAAAATCGGTGACTTGATGGGAATTGAAGTTAAGTCTTAGGAGGCACAGTTTGAAGTGCGATATCCATCAATCCTATTTGTTAGCTTTAGAAAATTGGCTTGAATATTTTATTTATAATACGATTTATTTGAATCAATTGTAGAAGCACCAGCATTAGCAATTGATTCTTTTAGGTCTGTGGATAATTGAGCGGAGCAAGCGAAGCTCTTATACCTCGACTCTTATATATATAAAGCACAATTCACATTATTTAGACACATATCAGTGTTATAAATCGTAAAATATTATTACTCAAATTTTAAATCCCTATTTGTATTAGATAATTTTCAATTTGTATAGTTACATTTAAATTGTATATGTTCAGGAATATTGACATATTGTCAACAGTTTTGCCAATTGGAGTTTGACATTTCCTAAGTAAATTATGTAAATGATTCAATTTAACCTCAAAAACCGAAACTCTAATTATTAGATATTAAGATTTTCAAACCTTTTTTTTAAATGTTCGACAACTCAAACTGTAATTTTAAGATCATAGCATCCATTTATTATATTATTAAAGTGAAACAGTCAAACTTGTAGTAATCGTTTATGGATATTAAGCAAATAAACATTTAGGCATGTGGCTCATCAGAATAAAGCTCAGAGTGTGTAGATTTGCCGAAAATTATTGGTATGAACGAATTCCCCAAGGGCTCTGCTCCACAGGCAGATGTTTAAATGGCTAAGCATTACAAGCTACAGTATCAAAGTATACAATTATAAATTAACAATAGCTAGTGAATGCAATTTTGATTACAATTTATTTACATTGTGTAAATCTATGAGTTATGTAGTGAGTGGGTTATGTAAAGCTTGAAAAAATGTAACAACAGTTACTGTACTTTGTTGCCGATATCATTTGAACCTCTGATCTGAATTTAAAGAAAATTATGTTCCTACATTAACTACGTTAAGTGGAAAAATAATGATTTTGTTTCTAAATTAAATAATAGAATACTAATAATAAATAATTTATACAGCAGATATAAGGAACAGAAAGATTCTATTTCGCGTACTCCCCCGTTGTGAAGCACGGGTTTAGCAGCTCGTATCCCTTTATTATGATAAGCAATGTCCATACCATACCTTTACTTTTCCATTGCCAGGAGGTACGCAAGTTTTCTTCGAAATATTCTAACATTTGTTCCTTTTTTTCGTTTCAGGGCTGATGTGGCAGTCAACCAGGAAGAAAGGAAGGATGGAGGACACAAGAGTCACGTGATCAGGATCCCTCTGCCTGAACTGACCAATGTGGAAGTGGTGAGTGGACAGTGACTATGAGGAGTAAACTGAATGTAGATAAACAGTGAATAGCTAACACAAACACCCATAAGAACAAGTACAACACACTGTAAGGTGTAATCATATTCTAGTTCAATTAAACAGAACATTGATTAAACACATAATGAAGTAAATATAATTTTGATAAAACATTTAAATAAGAATGAATTAACACACTACACACACACAGGCAACCTTCAACTCTTGATATTATCCAATAGACGATGATATTATCTACACTAGAGATTAGATACAGTAAATAAAAAATAGATAATACCTTAGAACATAATATGTAGATATAATCAGCAAACGGGTAAATGAATCAGGTACGATGAACAAGCAAAATTATGAGCAATAAGAGCTACCTATCATTTTGGATTAAAGACGTTCTATAAAAATGTTGAATTCTATTAACTAATATTCCAAATTCTATTCTACTAAATGATTATCTAAAATAATCTTTTACGGAAATATGAAGCTGAAAAACTAGATAAAATACCCCCACCGCAGCAAACCTGCAGACTAAGCGAATTTCCATTTGCCTGATTGGATTTACACTAAAATGTCTCCTTAGAAATATCACATTTATTCCCTATTTAAATAGAATCAGTTTAACACATACTTAGGTTTGCTGCAACAGGGAGGGTAAAAGTGTTTTTTATGTAAAATGTTAATAGTTAGTAAGAAATAAAAACATTTTCCAAATTTGGGCAAAATATGTTGATAAACAAGTAAACTACAACAGTTTACTTATTCTCCATAAGAATAACATGGGAATTTTAAATTTACAATTTTTTTGAATTTTCTCCGTAACCATTAGGCGCATTATAACGCTTCGATACACTAATTTATTTGTTTTTTTAAGCTCTACAAAATAGTTTGAAAAGAAATTGCAAAATTTTATGTGTTTTGGGTCAAAAATTTGAAAAACCCATTTTTACCCCATAAAAGCCCCCGTTCCCATGGTCCGATCATGCTGGTTTGCGAACTCGGATCATTTTTGCTCGAGTTATCGTGCTAACGGACACACAAATATATATATATATATATATATATATATATATGAATTTGAACGGATGGTGTGTTTGGCCTCTAGGGACCTCAAAATGAAAAAAAAATCGGTCCCGGGTCCAGGTCTTACCATGAGTACTACGGTAATAGCTTATTCCCTATATGGGAAATTCGCTAAAATGTAAATTACACATTGTGTGCAGGGTTTATGGTTTTAATATATAAAATTTTTAAATAGCACATGCTGTATATATAGGACTGTGGTAGAAATAATTTGCAGAATCATGCATTTAAACAATCCATTGTCAATTGAGACGAGGTGTCACATAGGTGCGTATTTTAGCCCAAAATGAGTGAAAGAAATGTGTAGAAAGGAGTGAGATGCTTTGTGTAGCTTTTATACTGACTTAGCTAGGACCATTTTATTATGAGCCCAATGATCAAAGCAAGAGTGGCCCAGTTTCGAACCACTAAAAAGCTTCACTATTTTCTCAAGATCGATTTCTTTACTGTGACAATTTTATGTGTGGCAGATGGTTTCCACTTTAAAGTATGAATCTAGCTCAGGAGATTTAAATTTTAAAATATATTAACTTGTTTAGCATAGGCACCCTACCTAAAAAATAATTTTTTTCGAAGATATTATTAAAGATACCTTTTACAAACCACCTTAAAATTGATATTACTCCTTGTTTTCCACAGGTAACGCAATGGATGTCCGACAACATTCTCCTGGTCCTCACCATCGGAGGAGTCCTCCTCGGACTGTTCTTCGGGTTCGTCGGACGACTCGCCAATTTCTCCGACGGGACGATCCTCCTCGTCTCCTTCCCAGGAGAGATCCTGATGAGGCTGCTCAAGATGTTCATCCTTCCTCTCATCATATCTTCGCTCATAGCTGGTGAGGCATCTGAACATATGGACAATATTGAACATCGTTAGATAGCTTAGAAAATAGATGATGATTGTGTGATTCAAATGCCTATGTTTTAAAGCATTGATCAGTAACATCTTACTTTGTATTTTTTTGTATACTATATGTCTATTTGGTGTACGTCCTAATATACTTTATTTATTTTTTGTAAAGAAGCGGTTCCTCTTTCCTTAAGAAACCCTGAAACCCTTATGAAATTATACTTACCATTACGAAATTATTTCATATACATTTTATATCGGATTAAATGTCATACACTCCCTTATATGGTATAAAATTTCAACATTAAAAATCTCAAAATCATGAAGTTGCCATTAATTTTAATTCTGGTAGTAGGCTATTTGTTTTTTCGACTAAACCTTTCCTTTGAGCTGAAAGGACTGTTAAAATTGTTAGTTATCATTGAGAACATTATTTCGTGGAAAAGTATTAACCGTTAATGGTTTCCAGTAAACAAGTTTAACCGCGCCACTTTGGTGTTACTTGTGTAATCCGACCAGACAACAAACACCACACACACACACATCTAGATCGCATTAAATGATCGCTAGATTAGATCGCAAATTTTGTCTATGGATAAACAAATCGTAGTAATATTATCATTGGTATATTATAATATTAAATTATATACCGCATTATTAATATTGCTTGATATGCTGTGATTATTTCAGTTGTTCAAACTTTTGTAGCAAATTGAGTTTTGAGCAAATTGTAGCAAATTTTATCGATCAATCATAAAATGTCATAATTTTATTAATTATGTCAGGGTAGGGTAAGTTGCGTTGCCGGCCTTCAACTTTGGTCCTGCAATAATTATACTGTTCTTATATTGCCTATCAGCTCCTGGCAGAGATGAAAATTATTCACAGAGACTTCAATGAAAATAATTAAAAAGAACTTAAACGGTTTAGCTCGCGTTTTGTTGTTATTCTTAGGTAGAAAATATTTATGGTACTATAATTTGTCAATTCTAAACAAACATTTTCCAAAGTGACATTTAATGAAAAATATCAGAATATTTTAATTACGGTATAAATGCATTTTCAATATTTTTCCAGCATAGACTAGAGTGAATATCTGATAGGTTTGCTGTTGAGAAAGATATGACGTTCAAGAAGTGAAAACGGGTAAAATCTTTCACTATTTGTAACTTACATTGCATGTTATTATCGTGTCCTTTAGTCTTTTCATGTGTACTATTACTTAATTTAATTTAAATTTAGTAAAATAAATTTTTGTATGAAAAATCAAATGACACCAGTTTAAATAAATTGACTTAAAATTTGAGAAAACTCAAATTATATTCATAATTGTAAACAAAACACATTTTTAATAACTATGTTTAACTTATTATGATCACATATTGAATGTATTTAAAAAAAAAAAAAACTGGCTTGGAAATATTGCATGGATAATTTAACGCAAATAACCTCAACCCCTAGTTATATTAGTTAAAAAAACTATTAAATTGCCAAAAACACTCAACAACACACTAAAATTCGGCATTCCAAAAATCAATTTGAAAGCCATGCATGGTACTTACAGTTGTGTTGGCTTATCTGCATAATGAAAAAAGTTAAAGAGCTTTTCCCCAGTCATCCAAGGTAAACTAATTCCTATGCTTTATTGCAAACGTATCTTTCTGAACACACTAAAATCACTAAACCGATGAATATTATAACATAAACTGTATGTGTCATATACATAAACCAATGATGTCACTGACCCGAAAGTCTACAATAGCTGTAACAGCTGGTTTGGACATCCATTTAAATATTAATAAAAACATGTTTACTTTCGGGCCAGTGACGTCCTAGGTTTATTTCATGGTCAATACAGTTTATGTTCTAATATCTTGGAATAAATCTGATGAAGTCTTGGAGTTAATGATAAGTCTCACTCTAACCAGGTTTTTTCTATATCCCACTATCTTTGTTGTAATGTAGGTTTTGGTATTTTGCAGGTATGGCACAGCTAGATGCCAGGTCCTCAGGTCGTATGGGTATGAGAGCCATGGTGTACTACCTGACCACCACCATCCTAGCAGCTATCGTGGGTATCATCATGGTCCTGACCATACACCCGGGCGACCCTCACATCAAAGAGCACATAGACTCCAAGCCAGACGACACCAAGGTTTCGACACTCGACGCCATATTGGATATCATCAGGTAGAGTTTAAAATTATTAAAAATTCATTACTGTATATAAGGGCGGGGAAGAGTTCAAAAATTATTAAAGAGTCATTCTTTTCTATGTGTGCAGAGTTCATAAATGGGTTATGCATTTTTACTATAATAACTGGAGTGTTGTAAAAAAGCATCTATTTATACGTAGGTAAACTATTTTGTTCTTTAGTAAAGCATCAGGTTTAAAATCGGTTAGTCTAGAAGCTCGAGGCTTATGTTCTACTTTATATACTGAAGTGTACACTTGTTTTTGCTAATTTTACTATAGATTATTAACCATTACCATCGCAAAAATACACTGTTGTATCATACAATCTTTTTTTTTGCAAAGTCTTATCTAATTTATCTAAAAAATGGACACAATATACATTTTCATAAGGAAAATGTTTCAAGTTTTTTCATAAGCCTGATGAATTGATTAAAACTGGACTAAGGTGTTCTTGGCTTTTAGCTTTTATCAATATTTCTGACAGGAAAAAACTTATCTTAGACATGAACAGAATGGTACACAACAAATCTAACTCATCACATACTCATCTTCTTTTCAAATTTGCCTTCGAAGCCACAAAATATGCATTATAATAATAACAAGGAATGAATAATATTAAAATTTTCTTGCAACACTTTTGAAATGTGCCTACGTCATAAGAAATTAATCTATAAGCGATTTTCTACGCACTAAATTTACTTGGTGAAGCCCCTTACAAATATAGTTTAACGATTATTATACAATCCTATCTTTCCCTTTCTACATTTCTTCCCTAACACTCGATGTATCTTAAGGTGCTAAACTAACAATTCACATCCTACTTCAAATTCAAACGACAAAACTATTTCAAAGCATTCCTCTCCTTCATATTTCCCAGTATGCTTTTCGAGTGACAATCTCGCCAGTAGTAAACAGACCGAGTAACTAAACAAAGGAGTGTTTTATTTGAAGTAGAATGCACACACAATATAGTGAAGCGGGGAGAAGTGCCAACAATGGAAGCATTACAGATGAAACCGCGCCGCATAGAGTACTCTATGGAACCGTTCTTTTAGTCACACTGTAATTCATTACTCTATGGAGACCAGCTCCATCACCACTGAATACTTTCTGAATGTTCAAGCATTGTACTTTGTCTAGTATGAGTTTAATATATTTAATTTTATTGCTGTATGCTTCAATTAGTAATACTAGTAGGACTTGAAGTTTTAACTTTAAATTTTAACTTTTAAATGTATATAAAAAGTATTATTTTCAATTATTACTGTTTTGAGTTGCTGTTAACAATATTTTTAGAACCCACTATGTTCATGTAAATTTTATTACCTACTGTAGCTTACCAGGTTTTATCATTGAAGTTGGCATGAAAAACTTTACCTACCTATATATTTTTTCAGAAACATGTTTCCTGACAATCTAGTTCAAGCCTGTTTCCAGCAAGTTTCCACGACATACAAAAAGGTATATAGATGTTTTGAACCTTTAAAGAGTAAGTTTAAACCATTATTCTGTAAGACCAGTCCTAAAGGTTAGAGCTCAGGACCTTTGCCCTCGAGATGTGGGTTCTAAACCCGCTATTCCCAAATGGCTTTTAAACAATACCGTAGCAGAGTTTTTTTGGAGCCCACTTTATGCTGTTGGCCTATAACTATATAGAAAACTAGAAAGATATATCTGTCATACAAGGATAACATTCATATATTAGAGAGCTCCATTCATCAAAGCTCAATAAAATCCTAATATTTCACAACACTAAGCATCTTTGGAGGTTGTTTCACAGATGTGTCTGACAGAGAGGCGCGAAAAGTGGGTGGTTGATTGACATTGAATGTAATTGTCAGTTGAACGGACGTTCGTTAGTCGAAAATTACGTCCGATGTCTGTTATAATCCACTTCACACTTCACACAGCTGACACTTTGCTTCATCATCTGTGACACTTAGACAATGGGGCGTAAAATAGACAGATGGGTTATAACTTTACATGGCGAAAGTGATTCGTAAATCCAGACAGTAGATATGTTCGGATGAATGTAGTGTTTTGTCTTTTAATTCAAATGTTGGAAAGCACTAAAAGTAATGATGCTAGAATAAATGCAATTGAACCCAATTTAAGAGGAATTCATTTAACTTTACCTCAATTCTTAGGGATTTTAAATTGTAATAGATGTAATTGATGTCGCTATCATTACACTGTTCTAAATACTTTATTAACAAACTTGTATTAACTCTACGAGAAGAAACTTTTCTGAAGACACTAAAAGCTCATCAAAGTTAGATTTGGGTGTAAGTTTTGTATAGAATGTGTAGGAAAGGCAGCAAGTTAGTGTTTCCGGTTTGATATTTTACTTACACAATAAGTAGATTGTCTCCAGTGGTTGTTATGGCAACTGAGGCACTTCATCCATGTATGCCACAGTGAATAAGTGGCATTACATTAGCAATAAGATGTTATATACTGTACATCTAGTTTAGTCCAATGTATTAGCGAATTTTCTACTGAAAGGGTTGCCTTATTCGTGACCACCATAGTCGGGTTTAAGCTCGAGACCTCTACAGAACTTCATTTGCGGCAAAACGTCACAATTATTATTTTCAAATTTAATTTTAGTTTCATTAGGAGTATAATTTTCCAATTTTGGGCGAGTTCCATAGAGGCAGGAATGCAGTGAACTCAACAGTTTTTAGGTGATTAGTCATTAAATTTAATTCTTAGAGTTTTGTTCCCAACAAAAGGTTGGTTTAAAATAGTATTTCCTCAGCAACAAATATGTCAAACATGTCAATCGTAAATAGATAAAACATGTTTTCACACTTTTAAGAATTTTAGAACTATAAAAAAATACATTTTGGTCAAAAACATCATTGAAATTTGTGTACAGTATGTTTGAAAAATGTTTTACTGAAATGGCAATTACATTCCTTCCAAATTAATTGGAAAAATTCCTTACCCATATTAATGGATGGGCGTAGTGGATGCAGAACTATCTTAAACCCACTAATCACCCACTATCTTAAACTATCGTCTTGTAGTGATCCAGTTCCGTCTTTTTTTGCCCTCCTGAAAAACTCAACTTTGGTTTGTTTTAAGATGACATTTACTGTAATATTAAAACTAGTAATCAACATGTGATAAATTATGTAGTGAACCAGAACATTTCTAATTCAAACAATCTTATGACCTGAGCAACTTTTTATCTAATACTTTTGTCTTCTTCAGGTGAAACCTCTAGTTATAACCAGTTCAAACCACTCGGATCTGAAACCGGTGGAAGAGTTCATTTTGAAACCCACCTTAGTCTACAAGGATGGTACTAACGTTATGGGTAAGACATTTATTTCATGTAGTATTTGGTATAAAATGTAGTATTTGTATAACACTCATGAAGTAATCAATGAATTTTAAAGACATTGTGGTTTAGAGAACGATTTGTCTTGGAATCCTTCAAGGTAATGGTAGTTTTTTAATAGAACCCTCCACCCTTACAAAGCTGATTTCAAGAACCCAAACCATTACATTTCAATTTCACTTATCTTGTACTAAGAAGACTAGATTATCCACCGAGGACAGCCTTGAAAAGACAATCATTAACAATGTGATTCCTATTGTGATAAGCTGCACCACAGCTATGACGGTCTGTCATTCCGCATATCAACCTCTAATAGCTACATCTATCTCAGTCGAAAAACGGTTGACAGGTTAGATACCGAGAAGATGTTCCACACTTGCACAACTTCCAGGAAGAAAATCAATTACATTTTTGAATACAATTCTTATGCTCAAGGCCCGTGTGCACACAAACGCTGGCAAACGCGTTATCAAAACACAAATAAAAATTATATAAATGGTGGATCGAAAAATAAACAGTACGTCTGTTCCAGGTATGATCGTTTTCTGTCTGGCATTTGGACTGCTCGCAGGTCAGATGGGCGAGAAGGGGAAACTGATGGTGCAATTCTTCGTGGTTCTCAATGAAATCGTCATGAAGCTTGTTGGTGTAGTTATGTGGTAAACGTAATAATCTTATCCATACAGAGGTGCCCATCCCCCCCAAACCCAGAGGCGCAATCCCCCCCCAGCCAAAGGTGTAGTTCCCCCCCCAATAATGCTGCTGTCGATTTAAACCTATCCTCCCCCTGCCACAAATTCCCCTTTACCTCATAAAAAAAGCATTTAAAGTATTTAGTAAACTTGAGTTAAATAAAAACAATGTATGTATAATGTATTCTGACAACACCTCTAGAAGTGGGTCTTTTTGTAAGCCTGACGATGGTGGGGTTAAATAACCGCCAAAACATATGTAGTAAGTAAAATCGACACTAGTACATAGGAATGTCTGACAAGGTGCTGAAACACTTTTTTATCATTATGACAGCTAGCAAAAAATTATCCCCCTTTAAATCCCCTCCAAAAAAGCACCCCCCCCCCAGAAAATTCCCCCCTCTGGGCACCCCTGTATCCATATAATTAGTTGTAGCTGTTGGAGTTGTATACCTAAATGTGTGAGGATTTGGAATATTTCTACCTCCCTTGTATATAAAACACAAAGATGTACTAAGGACTAGGGCATATGTCTAGAATAGTTTTTAAAAACTGGTCTAGTCTAAAATATATATATCGGATCTACTGTACATATTTTGGAAATTATATTTGTAAAAGAAAATGCATAAGCCAGATAACTACTAAGAGCACAATAATGAACTAATAAAAATAACTATAACTTGTACTAGAGCTTATACCTACTTTTAAGTCAATCTAACTGTATAAAAGGTTTGCACCTAAAATTGTATTGTAGTCATAAACATAATGTCTTTAAGTATTATTATTTTTCATTAATTTAAAATGCAACATAGCCTACAGACAGTTAAATTCATGACATGCCGTCATTGGTAAGGTCTAAACTGTTGTGTTAACGCCTTTGTCTAAAGGAAATATTAAGTATTGGTCATAATCCTATAATAGACAGACCAAAGTGATAAATACAAATAAAAGACAAAATAAATAAACGATCTAAAATTTTGCTTGATTCTTTAATTGCATTTTGGTTTAATGAGCAGTGGAGGTCTTGGTCTTGGTCTTATAGTTATGGGACAGCTGCAATCGCCACACTAGTATATGAGTCTTAAACAGTGATAAATAGAATGATAAATATATATGTTTTATTGTATAAGTGATTTAGCAAAGTCAGAAACAATTAATTGCCTTGAGGATTTTGCTAACATTCATCTCAATCGTCAATTTCCAGGTACGCTCCATTTGGGATCATGTGCTTGATTGCGGGAAAGATCATGGGCATCGACAACTTGGCCTCCACTGCCAAACAGCTGGGAATGTACATGGTCACAGTCATCATCGGACTGCTTATCCATGCCGTCATCACGCTGCCCGTCATCTACTTCATGCTGACTCGGAAGAATCCCGCAACATTCTTCCGGGGAATGCTACAAGCCTGGGTGACCGCCCTGGGTACTGCGAGTAGGTAAGTGAAAGGATACGTTTGTTAGCGATAAATTAAACTTTGGTTTGTTTTCGTAGGGAGAGGGACCGAGGATTTTCTACCAGGTAATCCAAGAGGAGACAGGTTCCGTGTAAGTCATAAGAGTGGTCTTTGGGGTCAACTGCATCATTAGTTGGAGATTGCTGCAAGACTTTTCACCCTTACTTTTAAAAATCTTTCCACAGTAGCTGGACTGAGGACTCACTTGTCTCAGACACAGTGACTCAGTCTTCCCATTTAAGAAGATGACTTTTCAGAGTAAGAGCAAAGCGTCTGTCAACAACCTTCAACTGATGACGATGTCGTCGAAAATCACTATGAATAACTCTGATAGCACAGCCTTCAAAACTTTCCGTAACATTTTACTGCATGAATTAAACTTAGAGAATCTCAAACAGTGATTAAAGACCCCGGTAAAATTAAAATTATTTTTTCTTTGAACCCACTTAATACAATACACTTTGTTATGCTTCTTTAAAACTTCACAAGTTTAAACTTAGAATACTTTTACGGAAGTTTTTGTGTCACATATTATGTTTTCCAAACAGTTTAAAACTACTTAAACTTACTTCTCTCACTTTGTTTTACTTTCTCTACTTTGTTGGTTGTTTTCAACACCAGTGGCACATTCCAGCAAAGAACACCAAACAGTATTACGGGAAACTACGCACGGCCTCTCAGTCTCAAGTATTTGAGGATAACCCACGGACTGAATTTATTCCTTCTCAAACACCAACCACTAAGCAAGCACTATATAATCATCAATAAGGACAAAATACTTATTTTTTTTTTAAATGTTGATTTGTCAATGGATGAGAATGTAAAAACACCAATAAAATCTTATGTCTTTTAAATCAAACAGCAACATATTCACTATAATTTGTCTGTCAAGTGCGGCAACTCTACCGATCACTTTCCAATGTCTGGAGGAGAACAACAAGATAGACCCTCGAGTGACGAGGTTTGTGGTGGCAGTGGGAGCTACAGTCAACATGGACGGGACTGCACTCTATGAGGCTGTGGCAGCCATCTTCATAGCTCAGATGAACGGCATTCACCTCGGTCTGGGTGACGTCATCACAGTCAGGTAAAAGAGATAAGAAAAGTGAGTAAGATACTGAACTGGAAGAATTTTTTTTTTAGGAGATACAAATCAGTATAACTTGTTGTTTGAATTGTGATCACTCGGTTATGTCGGCTAACATTAAAATAAAAAAAAAAAAAAACTATCTTAAATCTACATCCTATGGACCTGAAGTTTATTTGGTTCTTAATGATCATTACCACAATCATCCCCCACCATTCATTAGTTATCCAAACCAATATTATTCACCCTTATGGACATCCATTTTTATTTATTTCAATCTTTAACCCATCCTCTTGTTTTACCTAAAAGTTTGGGAGATACTTAGTAGAACATGAAAGATCACAGGTCCCTTGTATGCTTGCAATTTGCAGCTGTATTGCAAAGGTTTGTAAGAGACGACAAAGTTAGTTGAAGACTTTAGCTGTGTGCTAAGTTTGGGTATAATATAATATTCTATACTATAAAATCATATTCATGCTGAAAGGACACTAACTATTCTTCAAAGTTAATTTTTGGTAATCTTAAGTTAACGATTATTGCGGACATATGTTCCATCACGACCAGTTCTCAAGCATTACACCCTAGTTTTCATGCAGTTATGAGATCTGGAATCAGATTTTATAAATATCGTGAGATAAAACATGTCAAGATTAGTATAAACCCCCCCATCTGAAGCTGTAAATCATAAAAACCCATTCAGTAGTAATATAGCATAGTACACCAAGCGGGAAAAAATCTTACAAGAAAATAACTATTATAACAAAAAGATGGTATGCATACACAATAACCACACGGTGACTTGAACGAGACTCAATCCTTGAGCTACAAAGCAGTCTTGCACCCAATAATCCCTCAAACAACACGCTAACCAATTAGCTGCAAAGATATTGCGGACATTTTTATAAAATATTACTTTTTCAGCCTGACAGCCACACTGGCGAGTATAGGAGCCGCATCTATCCCCAGTGCTGCACTTATAACTATGTTGTTGGTCCTCACGGCTCTTGGACTTCCGACCTCCGACGTCTCTCTACTGTTTGCTGTCGACTGGCTCTTGTGAGTTGTGTTAACTTTGTTGTGGCTTTGAACCCTGTGCCCACAACCTCATTAATCATAACCTTCAACATAGTTTTAGGATTTGGTTAGCCAGTGGCTCAGTCGGTGACACATCTAACACTGTGATGCTAAGGCAGAGATGAATGTACTGTACCTCTTCTCCAATTGCTTTCGATATGTTCTACCTACGCAAAGGTCTTTGGAGCCAATTTTGATGGCAAATGCAAGATTAATAAGAGGCTGCCAACCAATTAAAAAAAAGCTTAAGAAAATTAGGTGTTCTGTTTTTTTTTTATTATATCCCTTGTGTTGTTACACTGTGTAGACTAATTTGAGGATTTCTTCTGTTATGTAATATTAACCAATTATTATTTTGCATGTGTAAAAAATTTTTAGAATTTGTGAAAGATAACAAAAATTTGTGATTTCAGAGATCGAATCCGGACCTCCATTAACGTCCTTGGCGACGGGTACGGAGCTGGAATTGTGTATCATTTGTCTAAAGACGAACTGGACAAAATGGATGCTGAGAGAGTGCTGGAGATAAACGAATCGAAACATGGACAAGAAATTGTTCTGGACGAGAACTTCGTCAAATCACATGGAAATCCTTCGAGCTGTTCGGAAACCCAGATGTGAGAAAGCTATGTTGTGACACATCTGGTCCATTAAAACAACAAATACTGGAGTAACACTTAGAACTTGATTCTAGGACGATTCTGACTGATGGAACAGTATCCCGATTTTGTCTCAAAACTTGGAATGTATCCGAAATATGGTATTGATATTTTATACACAGTTCGGTTCAAATAGGTTTTATTAGTAAATGTGTCAGTATTTGTAATTTTTTAGTCAATGTGATATTCAAAGTGTTCATACGTCAACAATGAGCTTCTTAATGTTTAACATATTCAGTAATTACTTACTGATATAGTCAACATGAAATAGTAACCGATTAGAGAAAATATTTCACTAGCGTCATATCATGCTATCCATGTTTGTGATTTAGTGTGGTCCTCATATCTTTGTGATGTGGAAAATTTAATTCATACAAATAAATTTAAGTACCTGCTCTGTAGATAAACTTTACCACTCTTTGTGTGTTATGGTTTAATATGTATCTTCATCCCTACATATCATTCATAGTAAAATCCTCCCAACAAAAGATTATCTATATCTTCCTAAATGTGACAATAATTTAGAATAGTGTTGAATGGCATTTATTTTATAATAATATTGAAGATTAGTACATCAAATAGCATTTATAAATGGTTATTTTATTGTTTTTCCCACTAGTTAGGTTTACAGGTGAACTGTCATTCCTCAAAATTAATAGTATTTAAAAATAATTAAATGCAAATAAATTGAGAGTTGAGAGAAGAAAAAATCCAAGTAAATTAAGTTTATAAATTGAAAACTGGAAATGTTTTTTTGTGCTTTAGGTATACAAAATAAATTGCACAGAATTACTTTCAAAAAAAGTAAAAGTACCAAGAAAACAGTTAGGCTACAAATTAGAGTACATTAAATTTTTTTATCAAAATAGACTGAAGAGTTCTTGGCTTTCATATTTAGTTAAAATAGAAACATTTTTGTATAAATTTACCACCAAGTATGTTTAAAATCACAAAATAAAACAATTATTTTAATATTGGGCACCAGAGTTTTTAAACTACTGTGATATAGGCTAGGTGTTCTGGATAAAAAAAGTTATTCAGTTGTTATTTAGCATCCTCAAACCGATTAGAGACTTGAAATCTTGACACAATGTGTCGCACTGCATAACCAATCAAAATTTAACTAAATAACAATTGTTCGCTTAAATATATTCATTAAGATTTCAATTGTTTAACTATTTTTCACTAATATTATTTCCATCAAGGAAATAAAAATAACAAAAAGTACCTTTTACAGTTAAATTTAAAAGTAACTGCCTTCAAATGCATTTACATTTTGGAAATTCTAGATCAAAAGTAGCGATATTTTGGATAAATGTACTGTAGAAGTTAGCAAAGAGCAATAGGCTACATATGTTGAAAAACGACCAATCGATTCTGACATGATGTTCATACATTTTTGGAAACAATTTGTGTAATACGAAGTACCCTTTGATAATATATTCTTATCTGCATGGTTTATACAATCTTACTCCCCTTATTACCCATATATTTAATAATGTAGTTTTATTGTACATTTCAATATACGTACTACTCTAAAAATAATCAAACTATAACTTTATGTTATATATAATCAAGTGTGTTAAACACACAATATTTTACTCGATGTTAGAATAGAAAATATTGTTACCACATTCAAATATATTTATTGTTACCTACTTACGATTATAACTGCACCCACCTTATTATGTGATGTTCTAATTTTGCGCTCTAATATTTAAGATCGATTGTGTGATTGTTAGGTTAATTAGTACTTGTTTTATATCATGTTATTGATTTAAAGTTTAAGAAGTAATGTTTAATTTATGTATCTTATTTATATATAGATTTAATTTATTACTTGTTATAACTAATAGTACATAGTTTAAGTTTGTACCTTAATTGTTTAGGATAGGTCTTGGTTGTCTCATGTGATTGCATTTTTTTCAATAAACTCTTCTTAAATGTGGTTGTTGTATGTTTTAATGTAATTCAACAACAGAAGTAGTTTATTACATACAGCTACCTTGTGAGGGGTGAGCAACATAGGTGCAGCTTGTGAACATTCAAGGGAACCTACCAGACCACTCATGACACTGTGGGACTGGAACCCAAACTCAAACTTTCGGAGTGAGTTTATCCTGAGAAAAGTGGGTAGTTTTTTGATGGTTCGAAGCTAGAACCAGGAGCTGTTTCTGATCATTGGGCTTAAAATTAAATGATCCTGACTAATGAAACAGCTGATCTCAGTCAGTAACAAAACTACACAGTTCATCTCACACAATTCCACAATCATCACTCACTCATATTTGGGTTAAAAATACACACCTAGGTGCCACCTTCATCTACATTATAGATTATCATATTTCTGTTCAACCTAATAGCACTGACTATTGGAATACGCACAGCTAATAGTAAAGCTTTTAAAGTATACTACCAAGAATAAATTAACAAATAGGAAGCACATGTGAAGTTAATAAATCAAATCAAAAATAAAGAAAGACGCACAGCTGATTTTAATATTAACGTTTCATTAAGTTAACATGGCAAATTTGAAGGCCACTGGGGCAAAGCCCTATCATACCCATTTTGTGGGCTGCACAACTTCAGAGTGAGCTCTTTACACTCAAAATCTGTTAAAACCTTAAAATAACTCTTACCAAATTGGTTGAATAGATAGATTAAGGAACGCGGCAGCGTTCCGCCCCGCCAAGTCCCCCAGCGATACACAGCTGCTGCAGTGTATATATACATGACGTGACAAAGTGGCTTTTTTACTCGTCTATAGCTCTGAAGAAACAAAAGCTATTAAAATAATTGTTCATCTACTGGATAGGGGCAATCATTCTCAACAAAATTAAAAAAAAGAATTTAAAAAACGGTTGTGTTTGAGCCAAGAAAAACTAGTTTGAAAATTCACAAATTTTCCGTGTTCTCCTTCTTCTCCTTAAATGTTGACGGACCTACAGCCCAAACCAATGGCTCAATTTTAATGTTTTTTATGTTGTTTGAAAGCCCTTAGCGTGTAGATGTGCCTTTTGAGGGTCTCAAGTCGGTGCGTTGACCCATAAACCCTTGGCAAGCCCTCAAAGTACGAGTTTGGCCCATTTAAATAACATGGGATTAAAATCAAAACAAAAGAAGGACCAGCTGCGATTAAATCTTAATTAATTAAATGTTAGAGAAATTCATAGGAACAGCTGAAAAATTATTTTAATACTTTTATAAAGTATTTTTTTCAGGTATACTGAATGATTTGAACTACTTACTATATAAAATTACTTAGAGCAGTGATATTCCCCGATACTTTCCATTGAAAAATGCAGTGTACCGATGGTACACTGGTACAGCAGCTCGTCATTTTTAACAGTTTAATACTACTTATCAAAACATATGAAACCTAGGAACTTGAAACTTAGTACTAGTACGCTAGTACTAAGGTTTGTTCTATGTTTTGATACACTAAAACAAATAAAACGATCGGGAAAATCACTCTACATATGTTAAACAAGCAATTAAAAAGTGATATGTAAATTTAGGATAAATGAGTTATTCAATATTTGTTTTGCCTTATGCTATTTCTAACAAACCTAATTAGTTTGATTACATTTTTACATCTCTAATAAGGGCTCAATTTACACTAGTCTTTAGATATACGGGTTTAATTATTAGAACACTTATGTAACATCAACACATTTTATGTTGTTCAAGATGAGCATTGATGAAATTTTAAACTGAGTTTAAGCCCAGTGGGTTTGTTAAATAGTAATTTTGGTACGTGTGTCAAAAAGTTTTTAATCTGTTTAAAGCAGATAAGACCAAAAATGTAGAATTTAGTTCTACATTAACAATATTATTGAAATTAAATGAGATGTAGTTGTGCCGTGGTCTATATATCAGAGAAAAGAGGATTTTTATTTTAACTGTTAATTTTCTACAAAAATAAATAAAATCTAACAAAAAACCACTAAGTGGTAACACTTTCCCCGCCAAGTCAGCAATCCAAAAAAGTTAATAAATCATTACTTTTTCCGCCAAGAAAAACAATGTAATGTATGTAAGTTTGGCAACTTGGCGGCAGACTTTTGCTCGATCCCTTTAAAAAATACCATAAAACTAGTTTCATTGAGCAAGTATCCCTCCCATTGGTACATTGCTAGGTGAGAGCTTATTTTACAAAATTTGACCTTATTTGTGCCACATTTCATAAATTATACTTAGTTGGACTAATTAATTAGAGAAGTTGATTTGTGAAATTATCCACGAACGTAACTTAAATGAAAAAAACCAAGCAAAAGTCTGCCGCCAAGTTGCCAAACTTACATACATTACATTGTTTTTCTTGGCGGAAAAAGTAATGATTTATTAACTTATTTGGATTGCTGACTTGGCGGGGAAAGTGTTACCACTTAGTGGTTTTTTGTTAGATATATATGTATATAATACTGTAGATAGGATATTACTTTTACAACACATGCAGAATGATTGAATCAGTCTAAATTGTAGACAGGGCAGTATTTTTAATGGAATAGAGACTATCAGCTCAACATTGCTAAATGCATATTCTGGATATTTTGTTGGAGTGGGTAAAAAACTTGGGCAAAAACATTGAGAGAGCAAGAAAGAATTTATTGAAGGGGTCAGTCTTACAATTTATTTTATCTAGAGGCACAAATGGCACACTATGAACATTCAATTCTTATCTATCTGAAATCACAATAACTAGATATTTTATGATAAGCTACAGTACTTACGGTTTGTACTGACAAAATACTGTACCAAATACAATATTTTTTTATAATCCAAGTATACAAAATACAACTTTTACATCCATTTTCAGTTTTGTTTTACATTAATTTTGTTAAGTAAATTGAAATAATTACTCTATATACATAATTGATAAGGGTAAGTAAACATTACATTTTATACAAGTGAGAACTATCAGGTCATTAAATTCAGTATACATTTTTGGACAGAATTAGTAAAATCGAAATGGACTATGTTCAAAAAGTTAAGAAAATATAATTTAACTTAACATTTAATGCAAATCACCACATGTGTAAATACAACCTATACAACTAATGACTAGTATTTTATTAATATTGTTAGTTTACTAGCAAAGTTACATAAAATATCATTATTGCTTGAGTATGAAGGATAATTTAATATTTAGTGGTTTGGCATCAATGTAATTGTAAATGTATACCCTATAGGCAATTAACTTAAATTATTAGTGAAGCTAGTAATGTGCCAAAAGCCTTGAAAAGATTTAGCTATATGAGCAGTTAGCACATAAGTTTAATTTTAAGTTAGTGGAAAATGGTTTGAAAACCAAACAAGCCAAATCAATCAAAACAATCCACAAGAGCAAGGTTGGGTGATCTATGTAGCGATCTTGGAGGGAATTAAACTCTGCTCCTGTAAAATGATTATTGATATTTCTTTCTTTCCAAGGGTACCAGTTGAGAAAGTTTCATTCTACAGTATTTTTAACCAAATTTGGTAGACCTAGAGACTAAAAAAAGCAAAGAAATTGGCAAACCTTCCTTAGCACCGATTTTTAACTTATTATTTTACCAATTCTATTGTAATTTTCTTGAAAATTACTAAATTAATAACAATATAACATAACATTTATTTTTGCTTGCTCGTCAGTCAAAAATAGATTATAAACCCACCTATACGGTAAACTAGAGCTATCATGTTAAGCGAAATAAGCATATTCAACACTATAGAGCCACAAAAGCACAAAGTATCATCACATCGAAACATGTTTACAATAAGGCATTAATTTTTTATCTGTAGGACCAAAAATCGATAATCCAAAATCAAATCAAGTAAATATTTATTCTTACAATTAAATTTCAAAATATAGCCTACAACCTTCTAAGGTGAAAAAGTATTGTGATTGTAAAATAAGAGTGAAGAAAGTTGCCATAAATGTATACCTACAGAAGCTACTAAGAATTTTTAACCATATTAAGTCATATTTCATGTATAAAATGTATAAATACTCTAGATTTATTAATCTAGCAAAGTGTATATTTCTTCACCTTACATTTTACCTGGTGCTATACAATTAGTTCAAAATACACATAAACGTAAAGGTACATTTCTCGTATATAAACTAACAGCTTACGCAGCATGACTAAATGGTGTGCGTGAAATGTTGTGATATGACATCTAACTACAGAACATACCGAGCAAATTATCACAAAAGCTTGTTTAATCTTACCATTATAATATAACTATGCAAACTAAAAAGCACAACAGGGCTAACTGAATAAATAACAAGCAATGTACACATCTTCTTAACTTACAGACAGTAATAAATTTAAATGACTTCTTTTAAACTATATTTTTTGATAGTCCAATCATTTTGAATTATGACAGTTTTATCCAACCTATCACAATTAATTTTATGATCTTAATTCATGTAAACCTATTTTATTCTTTACTGTAACAAATCTTATTCATGATTTTTTTAATCATATTCGGAAACATATTTTTCTTTGTGTTCAATGCTGTGATAAAAGTGATAATGAATGTTAGTTTATCATATTTTTGCATTTAATTTGGAGTATACTATCTTTGACAGTTGACAGAAACAGACATTACACCCACATATTACAGTTGTCTCCAGTTTTTTTATATTAAAACTAGCTGATTACCCGTGCTTCCGCAACGGGAAGATGTACTATACCAAACACTTGCTAAGCAGTTCAAATTTATATACAAAAAGCCACAAAATTTATACAAAAAAGTATCACCTACATTAACATTGTAATTATCCTACTGTTTACATGAAAATATATCAATAACATTATTTTCATAAATTATACACATTAATAAATCGAAAGCAGAGCCACGGTTGACACAGCTACAGTTATAGAATATTTGTTTTTATTTCCATAATCAATGATAAAGTTTTAGAATAAAAATAATCCATGGCAAAGGTTTATAATAAAT